CACCCGAAGGTTGCAGGAACAGCAACTCATATTCCGCTTGGGAACCCCGCAGCCCAATGGTATCAATGTAGATTTCACAAGCTTCAAAATCTCCCCTCCCCCTACCGCATCCCAAAACCAGCCCAGCTCGTCCCCGCCTCCCTAACCTGTTCTTCCTCCCACCTATCCCCTCCTCCCACCTCAAGCCGCACTCCCATTTCCTACCTACTGACCTCATCACGCCCCCTTGACCTGTCCGTCCTCCCTGGACTGACCTATCTCCTCCCTACCTCCCCACCTACACTCACCTTTATTGGCTCCATCCCCGCCTCTTTGACCTGTTTGTTTCCTCTCCACCTATCTTCTCCTCTATCCATCTTCTACCCGCCTCCCCCTCTCTGCCTATTTATTTCAGAACCCCCTTCCCCTCCCCCATTTCTGATGAAGGGTCTAGGCCCGAAACATCAGCCTTACTGCTCCTATGATGCTGCTTGGCCTGCTGTGTTCATCCAGCTCTGCACCTTGTTGTCTCAGATTTTCCAGCATCTGCAGTTCCTACTATCTCTTTTAAAAGCAATCAGGTTAGCTCCACTCCTTTTCTTTCACATATTCATACAATTTTTCTTTGAATATTGCAGTTGTATCTAGTTCCACGACCCTGTCAGGAAGTGCATTTCAAATCGTAATCATTCATTGTCTAAAGATTTTCACAATGTCACTTCTGGTAAATGACAGGGTTGGGAATACTGAGTGAGTGTATGTATGAGATGAATCATACAGACTGGCCTGGGCTGGTTATACAAAGAACCAAGAGGTGGCTAGATTTTCCGTGGAGTGGCAATCTCACATAGATCACTACGCTGCTCATTTTTCACATAAAGAACAAGCTCCACTTTTCTGACAGGAGGTTGTGGTTACAGCCATACTTTAACTCTGTCAGAACCCACATAATGCAGGATCGTCAGGGGAAGGCAAACCATGTTCCAAACAACAGAGACAATCAATTTGATAGGTCCAGTGAAAGGGTAAACACATAAAATCAAGTGTGAGGTAGAGTGCCGGGTGGGTAGGGGGTATGCATCTTGATGGTTAGGGTGCCTGGTGGGGTACACTGACAGGAAAAAATGGTAAGGGGGCCAAGTAAGTGATGGAGTGTTCAGGATAGATCAAGTTGGATGGGACATACTGAATACTAGGGTGGAGAGTGAGGTATTGGGTCCACTGGGCAGGGTTGGTCTCAGGACCCAACGGACAGGGAGATTGTGGGGAGAATGGTGTTGGGCCTTTGGTGGAGTCTGACATCGGGTCCAAGAGCAATGCAGGGGTTTCAGGTCCAATGGTCGGGCAACATGCTGAATTGCATAGGTAGAGAGGTGGTGTCTGGTCCAGTGGCTGTTGTCAGATCCTGAGGGGAAGTCTGGCGGTTGGGTGGTGCCATGTCAGGGTCTGTGGGAGGTGTAACTTGTAGTGGGAGTAGGTCAGTTGGACAGTTGCTCAGGAGTTAGACTAAGTTTAATAGTCTATCTCTTCTTAAGTAACTACTTACTTACCTGCAATGGTGCCCTCAAACTTCTACAATTTAAATAGATACTTTTGGATGGTTCCAGGCATAGGGAAATTTCCCAACAGAATCTTCAATTTCTGGGCAATTACCTCACATTCTTTACAGAAATGATTAATCTGGCCATTGGAAAATCTAGGCAGATCAGAGTTGGGCTAATCTCCCATAAGACCCTATCACATTGGCAACAACTGCTTAAACATTTCTCAGGAAATGAATCAGATCTGAAACCCAAACAGCACTTGAATTAAATGCTGCTAATATACTACCGTGGTGCCATCTTTCAGGACATTATCATCATAAAGCCAAAGTGCACAACCTTGCACTGAAAGATAAAAAGTACAATGGAGTCTTGATTTAAGCAGTGCAGACACTCCTAAGAATGCTGATAAGAGGAGTACCTCCACTGGAAAAGCGGAAGTTCAAGCAGCATCATGGCAGGGCGGACGAGTGGCAAATCAAACTGGTATGGATAACATGGGATTATTATGGAGAGTGAGAGACAAAAAAGGGCTCACAACAGAATTGCTTTTTGGCCAAGTTATTTTGTGTATTTGAGGGTAACAGAATAACATAAAATAGACGGTTGAGGGGAAGGAGACAACATTTTAGTGACTTCCTAACATACCAGCTGTGAACTCGACATGTAACTGATGAAGAAATTCTTGACTACAACAGAAGTTTCCTGAAGGTGTTCTGAGTGTAACATCAGGAGAGATTATCATTCTTACATTCTCTTCTCTTATGGAGAGGAAAGCAGAAGAATGGGGTTGAGAAATATATCAGTTTTGATCGAATAGCAGAACAGACTCAATGGGCTGAATGGCCTAATTGTGCTCCTATATCTTGTGGTCTTATAATTTAGGAGAAGAGCTAAATTATGTTTTAAATTTGCTGAGGAGTTGAATAAATACTTTGCATCTGTCTTTACAGTGGAAAATAATAGTAACATTCCAAAAATACTAAATAATCAAGAGGCAAAAGGAGGAGGGGAAATAAATACAATAGTTATCACTAGAGAAAAAGTACTAGGGCAAAAAAAAGTCCCCTGGACCTAATGGGATGCATCCAAATACTCGGTTAGTTTCTTAACCATCTCCTGTGGTTGCACACATAGGCGGCCATTGCTGATCTTTAAGGGGGTCTATTCTGTCTCTAGTACTCTTTTGTCTTTATTGTATTTGTTGAAACCCTTCATATTCTCCTGAACCCTATTTGCCAAAGTTATCTCATGTCCCCTTTTTTTTCCTCCTGATTTCCCTCATTAGTATACTCCTACTGCCCTTATACTCCTCCAGGGATCCACTCGATCCCTGCTGTCTATACCTGACATATGCTTCCTTCTTTGTCTTGACCAGAACCTCAATTTTCTCTGGTCATCCAGGATTCCCTACTTCTAACAGCTTTGCCCTTCACCCTAACAGGAACATACTGTTACTCGACTCTCGTTATCTCATTTTTGAAGGCTTCCCACTTTCTAGCCTTCCCTTTATCTGTGAATATCTGTCCCAATCAACTTTTGAAAGCTCTTGTCTAATACCATCAAAATTGGCCTTCCTCCAATTTAGAACTTTAACTTTTTGATCAGGTCTAGCCTTTTGCATAACTGTTTTAAAACTGATAGAATTATGATCACTTGCCCCAAAGTGCTTCCCCACTGACACCTCAGTGACTTGTCCTGCCTTATTTCCCAAGAGAAGGCCAAGTTTTGCTCCTTTTGTAGGTTCATTGTTCCTTGAAAGTGGAGTCGCAGGTAGACAGGTTAGTGAAAAAGGTGTTTAATACGCTTGTCTTTATTGGTCAGTGCCTTGAGTATAGGAGTTGGGAGGTCATGTTGCAGCTGTACAGGACCTTCGTTAGGCCACTATTACAATACCGCAATCAATTCTGGTCTCCCTGCTATAGGAAAGATATTGTTAAACTTGGAAGGGTTCAGAAAAGATTTACAAGAATGTTGTCAGGGTTGGAGGGTGTCAGCTAAAGGGAAAAGCTGAATAAGCTGAGGCTATTTTCCCTGGAATATTTTACCTTATGTAAAATCATTAGCGGCATGGATAGGATGAATAGTCAAGGTCTTGTCCTCAGGGTAGGGGAGGGCAAAACTAGATTTGAGGTGAGAAGGGAAAGATTTAAAAGGGCCTTAAGGGGCAACATTTTTGGGCGGAGGGTGGCGCATGTATGAAATGAACTGCCAGAGGAAGTGGTGGAGACTGGTACAGTTACAACATTTAAAAGGCATCTAAATGCATATATGCACAGAAAGGATTTAGAGGGATATAGACCAAATGCTGGCAAATGGGACTAGATTAATTTAGGATATCTGGTCAGCTTGGATGAGTTAGATCGAAGGGTCTGTTTCGTGCTGTACATCTCTATGACTCAATGACTCTAAGTGGCAACAGAGATAGTGGATACACTGGTAGCAATCTTCCAAGAATCCTTAGATTCTGGAAAAGTTTCAGGGGAATGAAAAGCTGCCGATTTAACACCTTTATGTAGAAAAGGGAAGGATACCAAAAAATCACAGGTAACTTAAGGTCAATTAGCATTTATCATGGGGAAAATATTAGAGTATATTATGAAGAATGTAAAAGCAGATCATTCAGAAATACATACTATGATCAAGCAGAGTCAACATACCTTCGTGTGGGGAAATCATGCCTGACAAATTTATCAGACTTGTCTGAGGAGGTAACAAGCAACGTAGATAAAGGAGAAGCAATGGATGTGATATATTTGAATATTCAAAAGGCATTGGATAAGGTATCAAACGTTAGGTTACTTAATGAGATAACAGCTTGTGGTGCTGGATGCTGTATATTAGCATGTATAGAGGACTGGCTAACTAATAACACATAATGGTTGAACATGTGAAATATGCAACTTGAATGGAGGACCTGAATATTATTTAAGTGGAAAAAGACTGCAGAAACGACAGCATAGAGGGATTTTGGAGTCCTCACCAATAAAACACAAAAAACTACCATCCAAGTTGTAGATAACAGGGAAAGCAAATAGAATGGTGGCCTTTATTTCAAAAACTATAAAAACAGGGAAGTCTTGCAGACACTATACAAGGTACTAGTTAGACCACACCTGGAGTATTCTGAGCAATTTTGGTCCACTTATCTAAAGAAAGATACACTGGCATTGGAGACAGTCCAGAGAAGGTTCATTAGGTTGATCCTGGGTATGGAGGGACTGTCTCATGAGGACAGGTTGAGTAGATTGGGTCAGTACTCATTGGGAGTTCAGAAGAACGAGAGGTGACATTATTGAAACACACATGACTCCTGACAGGGTAAATGCAGAAAGGTTCTTCTCCCTTATGGAGACTCCACGACCAGAAAGAGTGATCTCAGATTAAGAAGTTGTCCATTTAAGACAGATGAGGAGGAATTTCTTCTCTCACAGGGTAGAATTCTTAATCATTGAAGGCTGTCAAGGCTGGATCACTAAGTATATTCAAGGCTGAGAAAGACAGATTTCCAGTCATTAGGAAATTAAGTTTTATGGGGAAAAGACAGGAAATTGGACTTGAGCATTATCAGATCAGCTACGGTCTTATTGGATGGTGCTGCGGACCAAATGGGCTGAATGGCCTACTTCTGCACCTACATTTTATGGTCTTATGGTCTCATATATAATGAAATATACAAAAATATTGCTGAATAAAGACATATTTTGTTGAAATAAACCAAGAACTGCAGTGCTGGAGATCTGAAACAACAAAAATAGAAATTGCTGGAAAAACTCAGCAGGTCTGGCAGCATCTATGGAGAGAAAACTGAGTTAATGTTTCAAGTCCTGTGAACCTTCTTCAGAATTAGAACTATATTGTGTTGAAGTTTTTCATCTTGCACTCATCAAAGCAATTCATAAGAAAACTAGTAAAAGCATAAACCAACTCCTTACTCTAAGTTTTTTTTACATAATGAAAGTAGCATGGACAACTGGGACCCTGATTGGGAGAGATATTACCATGGAGAATGTAGCGGTTATGATAACATGTCATTCCCAGGCTTCCATTAAACTGTAAACCAGGCAAGTGGACTCTGATTGGTCAGGCATTGTCCTGAAAAACAAACTGATAAATGGCTAATAGTTGTTTCATTGAGTTGAAACCAGCGCAGTGCATGCATATGTTCTTTCTGTCTATAAAAGAACAAGGCCTCGTGTATTAATATGTGTGGCTTTCAGTACAGGCAAAGTGGACCACACTGCAAGCCTGACTGACAAACCTCAATTGGTTGCCAGTGCAATTCCTCGCACATTCGGGATAATTCAACAATTGCTCTCTAATGTTGGACACCGTGTTGCAAGTTTTATAGATGTAGGATGGTTTTGTATGGTTAGTAACTTGCTTGTTGTGAACATTAGGATATACTGTTTGATATAATCTGCTAGACCTTTGGCATTATGCTCAACATACTTGGTATCACACCACCACTAAAACTCACAAACCACATTGCTCAATTGTGAGATACCCAGAACATCTTTTTGACTTGATGGCAGCATCCTGTTAGTGGCAAACGTCACTTGTGTTCCATAGCAGCAGTAAAAACTGGTTAGCTTCACCTGTTGTTCCAACATATCAGATACCTTCCAGAGTTATCTGAGGCAGACTGTTTACTTTTCAGGACCAAGAATCACATATTGTCATATTTATCAAAGAGTGGCAGATTGTATTGGAAAGGCATATCCCTTCAGCTGTTAGTAATAAGCAAGGCATTGATTTTACCCAAACAACCTGCATTTGCAAAACTCATAACACATTATCTAACATTAGATGGGATTCTGCAATTGGACAACATTTACTGGATAGTCCTGAATATGCAAAGAATTACACTAACAACTATTATTGGTCAGATTTGAGCTGAGATGTACTTGTGTGTGCTGGGAGCTACAGATAATTAATACACAGCATCCTGTTCTTTATAGACCAAAAGAACGTATGCACGTGCTGTGCCTGTTTCAACTTACTGGTTCATTTCTCAGAGCAATGTCCTACCCAATCAGAGTCATTCTGCCTGGTTTAAAAACTAAAAAAAAGCCTGGCAGTTAACAGTCAATCATTATTATTTAATACATTCTCCATGGCAACACCTCTACCAAACTGAGTCTGCTTGTCAGCCTATCAGGACACTCCTCTCGTAACTATATAAAGTTTGGCTTTTCCTGTTATTGGTATTCTTGCAAATTATCCAGATGAGTGAGTTCTGTATGACCAATCAACTAATGGTAAAACCTCAATAGTTAATTTGAAAATTCAAATCAATCCTCTTTGTTCATCTCCTCAATTCTTCCTGCCTGCCTTATTTAGCAGCTACCTTTGCGATAATGGGTAGACAAACCTTCTACTATTTTCTTGAAGCCTGAGATTGCCATGAGTTTATATTCAGATAGTACTGCCTGAGAGACAGCATCCATCGAGGAATCAGTATCTAGATCTATAGGTTTAATCATTTCTGAAAATACTTCGGCTGATGAAAGTGAGGACTCCTGAAAATGTTCTTCAGTTGCTTCAGAGCTGCTGGAGAAAACAATAACATGGTTAGAGGCCAGGAATTATTTATGTGCTAATCTCTTATAGGTATTTTACTTTTACAAGGACAAAAATACTAGTTGGAGCTAAACATTTCTTGGGTTTGGAAACATCTGAGAGCAATGGTTTGTGCTGACTGAAAAGTCCTCAGCATCCATGACAGAAACCACAAAGGCCTTAGGAAGTGTCAGAGTCCACCATTGCCCTATTCCTTGGAAGAAAGTGCTTTCAAAAAAAATGTTCGTCAATAGCTTCAAAGAGTGATTTTCAACGTTGAAGGAACAAGTCAAATCCAAAGGAATAACACAGCATTCCTGCTACCAGGAGATTTGCTGACAGGGTATGGAATAAGTTTCCCTTCTGTTAAAGAACTCTTAAAAATGTCATTTCCATTGTTTTTGACCCATCAGCATACTGTGCAAGCAGAGAAGATGAAAACAACAATCCAAACCTAACCCCCCCACCCAGCAAGTCAGAACTAGTATGGAGGAGGGCTTTAACCCAATCTGTCTTCGGATAGTGAAATGCGTGTTATGTTTTTCCAGCATCTTAAGCTGCAAGTAAACCAAAGCTACTGAGATTGTGTGCTCTTCCTGTTACAACATGCTAAATGAACTTACAAATTAGAAGCAGAAGGCGGCTATTTGGCCCATTGGGCCCGCTCCATCATTCTTTAAGATAGTGGTTGATATATGTATGTTTGAAATTCAAGATTCTCATTTACACGGTTTGATTCCCTAGACTAACAAAAATCTATCTACGTCCTGCTTAAAGATATTTAATGATCCTGTCTCAACCAACTGCTGAGTAACTTTAAAACAGTGATGACTCTCTAATGAGAAGATGGGACCTTCATGGTAACGTCAGCTGGTACAGGAATTGAACTCACACTGCAAGTTTTACACTGCGTGGCAAATCAACTGCTCAGACAACCGAACTCCAATTCTAAAATTAAATTCCAAAACTATTCTGGTTTTTATATATTGCAATGAAATCGCTGCTCATTCTTCTAAACACCAATGGCAACAAGCTTAGCTTGTCAATCTTTCATCAACAGATACTTGCTCATTCTAGGTATCAATCTAGTGAATCTCTTTTGAACTACCTCTAATGCATTTACATCCTTCCTTAAATAAAGAAACTAAAATTGTGCACAATATTCAAGATCTGATCTTACCAATGCCCTATAGAACTGTGGCATAACACCGTTACTTGTGTTCAATTCAGTTTCATAATGAAAGATAGCATTCCAATAGCTTTCTTAATTACTTGCTAAATCTGCATACTAACTTTTTGTGATTCATGCACTAGAACACCTAGTGTCTCAGAATCTCTGAATCTCAGAATTCTGCAGCCATTCTCCATTTAAGTAATATGCTGCTTTTTTATTCTTCCTGCCAAAATGAACAATTTCACAGTTTCCCACATTATATTCCACCTGACCAATTCTTCCCATATTCATACCTGTATCTGTCTGCAACTTCATTATGTCCTCTTCACGACATACGTTCCTATCTATTTTTGTGTTATCTGCAAAATTTAGCTACCATGCCTTCGTTGACCTTATCTAAGTCATTGATATAAATTGTAAAAAGTTGAGGATTCCAGCATGAACCTGTGCAGCACTCCACTCATTACTGTTTACCCATCAGAGACCCATTTTTGCATACTCTGTTTTCTGCCAATCTTCTATCCATGATTATGTGTTACTTCCTATAGTCAAAATTCATACTTTGTGCAATAAGCTTTTATGTGGCACCTTGACAAATGCCTTCCATGTACAGTATGTCAACGAGCTCCCTTTTATCCACATAGCATGTTCTTCCTACAAAGAACTAATTTCCCTTTCACAAGACCACACTGATTCTTCCTGATTACTTTAAGGTTTTCTAAGTGTCCAACTACAATCTCTTTGCCGATCTATTGTAGCACCTTCTCCATGACAGACATCAAGCTAACTGGTCAATAGAAAACAGGAAACTATCACCCACCCTGTTTCTTGAAAAAAGGGGTTATATTTGCTTCTTTCCAGTCCGATGGAAACTTTTCATAATCTAGTGAAATTTGGAAAATGAATATCCATGTATCTACTACCTCATGAGACACCTCTTGTAAAACCATAGGACAAAATCCAGGAGGACCCAGGATCTTGTCAGTCTGTAGCTCAATCAGTTTGCCCAGTATTTATTCTTTAGTGATTGTAGTTTCACCAAGTTCCTCTCTCCTTTCCATCTCCTGATTCATGACAATTACTGGAATGTCTTTCATGTCCTCAAAAGTGAAGAGAGAAGCAACATATTTGTTCATTTCATCTGCCATTTCCAAATTATCTACCATCAACTTCCAATTCTCAAAATCTAGGAAACTAATACTCACTTTACTTAATATTTTCCTGTTTGAATACTTGTGGAAACTTTTGCTATCTGTTTTTACATTACTAGCTATCTTCCTCTCATAGTCTAGTCTCTTTCTTTTGATTCATCTGTTTGTCATACTCTACCATTTTTCATATTCCATTCAACATGACCTGCCAGCATCATTTTACATTTATCTGCTTTTTTCCTTAGGTCTGATACTTTCTTTAACTTAGTTAGTTAAATCTGGATGATGGGTCTTCCCCTGACAACTTCTCTTTTTTGAAGGAACATTCTTATTGAGTGTTCTGAAATATGGACCTTGAATGTCTGCCACTGTTTCTCTACTAATCTATTCTCTGTCTTAGTATTCTAGTTCACTTCAACTGCCTTTATTTAAATTTTTATCCTAGATCCACTTTTGTCCTTTTAAAACTGGATACAAAATTCAATGACATCGTGGTTGGTGCCATAATATCGAGCTGCTGATACCTATCTTTATTCTGAGGCCATCCTGTCACATTATACAAAACCAAGTCTAGTATCGCACCTGCTTTCTGGTTGTTTCTAGAATGTGATACTCTAAGAAGCCATCTCAAAATAATTCTATAAACTCCTGATCCTTGCCAAACTGATTTTTCCAATTTTTAAAAGTCACAAGATTATTGCAGTCTCTCGATCACAAGCGCCCAAAATTCCAATATTTTTTCTTATATATTTCATCCTACATTTTTGTTGCGGACTAGCTGTTATGGATTTTGATTTCAAGAAGGGAAGTGAGGGTGACTGCTCTCAATATCCAGGCAGTATTTGATCCACTGTGGCATTAAGGAGCCCTGGCAAAACTGGAGTTTGTGGGGGAAAGCTTTCCCCTGGTTGGAGTCATACCTGGCATATAGGAATGTGGCTGTGGTTGTTAGAGGTCAATCATTTCAGCCACAGAATATCACTGCAGGAGTTCCTCAGGGTAGTGTCCTAGACCCATCTCCATCTCTTCCATCAATGACCTTCCCTCCATCATCAGTTCAGAGGTGAGGATTTTGGCTGACGATTGTATAATGTTCAAATCCATTTACGATTCATCAGATACTGAAGAAAACCATGTCTAAATACAGCAAAACCTGGACAATATTCAGGCTCAGACTAACAAGTAGCAAGCAACATTTAACCATACAGTGCAGTCAATGACAATCTCCAGCAAGTGAGTATCTAACCATCACTTCTTGACATTCAAAGGAACTACCATCGCCGAAAAGCCCACTACCAGCATCTTGGGCATTACCATTAACCAGAAACTGACTGGACCAACCATGTAAATAATATGGCTACAAGGACAGTTCAAAGACTAAGAATCCTGCAGCACCTGCTGACTCCCCAAAGTCCATTCACCATCTGCAAGTTGCAAGGCAGGAATGTGATAGAATATTATTTAGTTGCCTTGATAAGTAAAGGTCCAACAATACTCAAGAAACTTGACACCATTCAGGACAAGGCAGTCCACTTGATTGGTATCCATTTTTAATGCCTTCAATATTCACTTCTTCCACAACAGATACACAGTGACAACAGACACACAGTGGTAGCAATGTGCACCATCTCCCAGATGTACTGCAACAACTTGCTAAGGCATCTTAGATTGCATCTTCCAAATCTACAACCTCTACCATTTAGAACGATAAAGGCAGCAGATACTTGGGAACACCATCTCCTAGTCACATGTTGTGCCGATCATTCAATGTGACTGGGTTAAAGTCTTGTAACTCCTTCCCTTAGAGCACTGTGAGTGTACCTACTCCACATGGACTGCAGTAATTCAGGAAGCAGTTCACCACTACCTTCTCAAGAGCAATTAGGGGTGGGCCTAAATGTCAGCTGAACCAGACAAGAATATCCTGCGAATGAATTTTTAAAAATCGGTTGCAAGGTATGATTGTTGTTTGTTTGTTTTTAACATGAAAGGGGAAAAGGTTTATGTTATAGTTATTTCTCCTTGAGGCTGGATGTAAAGTCCAACATTGACCGAGCAGTCTGGGTCATGTTCTCTCGAAATAATTAACTTTATCTCTCTGCCTCTCTCTGCGAACAGTCCCCTAAAAGTCAATGTCTTTGAACGAGCTCTTTGACATCTATCACAATATATCACCGAGTATCAAAATTATTCGGTAACCACCTCTAATGCACCCTGGAATGTTTAGACCAGGCCTATAAATGCAACTTATTGTCATTCTTGTATATTGGACAATCTGGGTTATGGTAACTTCTGCAATAGAATAATCCGCCAAAGCCCATTATTAGGACTGCAGACAAAGAATTTACACTGTGCTAAAGTAATACCTTTGGAATTGAGCCTTAGAGTTAACTTTTTTACTGGAAACAAAAAAAATCAAATTCTTTTCATGAGAGGATAATAAAGAAAATATTCATCAGTTCTCTGGAGCTGGGAATGCTGAATGTTACTCCATTCTTTGTATTCCCTTAGAGAAGGATGATAACAGTCAGAATAGAAGTGCATAAGAGCAAACATCTTTACAGCTGACGTCTAATATGACATTAAAATATTTACAGCTGTTGAATATTGAGCCAGTTAAAACAATGAATCTCTCAGCCCTAACTTGTGAAGTGCATCAAAATTTCAGTAGTGGCCACTTCCAAGAATACTTCATTATGGTGGCGCAGTAGTAATGTCACTGGCCCATTAACCAGTGACCAAGGTTAATGTTCATAGGATATAGGTTCAAATCCTAACATAGAAGATGCTGAATTCAAAAATTCAGTAAAAATCTGGAATTAAAAGCCAATCTAGTGATGACATGACCATGATTGTCATTTTTTTTAAAAATGGTTCACTAATGTCCTTACTTTAGGGAACAGAATCTACTATCCTTACTTGGTCTGGTCTACATTTGACTCCACACACAACAGTGTAGCCTAGTCAATGATGCTCACAACCTGTGAAGGAATTTGATAAAAAAATTAATCACACTTCCTAAACTTAGATTGCCTTCTGAAGGCAGAACCTACATTCAAGGCATGTTTGACATAGCAGAGGCAACTAATGCTGTCAGGGTGTTCGATGTAAAGAAGGTTGAGCGAAATGAAAGGAGGGTGTTCCTTTCAAATGAAATCCCATGCCAAGGGAAAGAAATGATTTTCTAAAGGCCAATTCAAATAAGTGTATGAGGAAATTAAATCTATCCAATTTCAAATAATTGCTTCCACACCTCTCCTGATGTCACTTTGATGTGGAGATGTTGGTGTCGGACTGGGGTAGACAAGGTCAAAAATCACACAATACCAGGTTATAGTCCAACAGGTTTCTTTGAAGACACAAGCTTTCAGAGTCTTACTCGTTCTTCAGGTTGGATGAACACAACAGGCCAAGCAGCATCATAGGAGCAG